TAGGCAATGATGGATATGATTGCCATTTTGGAAATGGCAAATGTAAAATAACATTTAATAATGTATGTGTTGGGCTTGCTATCTTACAAAATGAGATTTATTTGTTATCACTACGTGATGATGTGAATGGTGTATGCAATGATGGGAACGTTGCGTGCGACAATGAGAATGTATCCTCGTCTGCGGATGTAAACAGAAAACGAAAGAGAGCTCATGATGCGTCGTCGAAATTATGGCACTGTCATTTAGGCCATATTTCGAGAGGGAGAATAGAAAGACTAGTTAATAATGATATTCTTCCTCCATTAGAGTTCTCAGATTTAGAACAATGCAGAGAATGCACAAAAGGAAAGTATGTAAAGAAAATTAAGAAAGATGCCAAACAAAGCGCAAGAATTTTACAAATTATTCACACAAACATCTGTGGTCCGTTTTCTGTAAAGAGTGTGGATGGTTATGATTCGTTCATAACATTCACAGATGATTACTCCTGTTATGGCTACATTTATCCAATCAAAGAAAGAACAGAAGCATTAGATAAATTTAAGATATTTAAGGCAGAAGTTGAAAACCAACACAATTTAAAGATTAAGATAGTCAGATCCGACCGTGGGGGGAGTACTATGGTCGGCATACCCCATATGGCCAAGTTTCTGGATCTTTTGCAAGATTCGTACAAGAGAATGGCATAGTAGCCCAGTATTCTACACCGGGAGAACCTCAGCAGAATGGAGTAGCTGAAAGACGCAATCGTACCCTGATGGATATGGTGCGCAGTATGATAAGTTACTCCACCTTACCGTTGAGCCTGTGGATGGATGCGTTAAAAACCGCCATTCATATTCTCAATAGAGTACCAAGTAAGTCGGTGCCCAAAATACCGTATGAGTTGTGGACAGGAAGAGTACCCTCACTAAACCACTTACGTGTGGAGGGAGTCCTGCTGAAGCTAAAGTATTTAACCCAAACATTGGAAAGCTAAATCCCAAAACAGTAAGTTGCCATTTTATTGGCTACCTGGAAAAGTCAAAAGGTTTTTGTTTCTACTGTCCAGACATACATACAAAGTTTGTGGAAACGAGACACGCTGTCTTCCTAGAGGATGAAATGATGAGGGGGGAGCATGATAGCTCGAGAAATTGACCTTGAAGAGAAGCGGGTGTATGCACCCACTCCGATGATTTATGAGCCATTTTTCGTACTACCTGTTGTCGCTGTACCGACAGTGCAAGATACTATGGTGCAAGCACCTGTTGTTATTCCACCTATGGTAACAATGAATGATGATGAGGAACTTGTTCTTCAGGATCTTGTAGAACCTATTGCCACATAAGAGGGGGAGCAACAACAGCCTCAAACAGAAGATGTGCCAAATGTGGAGGCCCCTATAAGGTCTCAAAGAGTTAGAAAATCAGTTATTCCTGCTGACTATGAAGTATACAACACTGAGAAATTTCAAATGAAGGATGATCCCACCTCATTTGAAGAAGCCATGATAAGTGATCATTCATCAAAGTGGCTTAAGGCCATGGAAGATGAAATGAAATCTATGAATGCCAATAAAGTTTGGGACTTGAAAATAATTCCTAAAGGAGCCAAAACAGTAGGCTATAAATGGGTCTACAAAATAAAACTTGACTCTTAAGGGAATATAGAGAGATATAAAGCGCGACTTGTGGCAAAAGGCTTTACGCAAAGAGAAGGCATTGATTACAATGAGACCTTTTCTCCAGTCTCATGTAAGGATTCCTTCAGAATCATAATGGCATTAGTGGCACATTATGATTTAGAATTACATCAGATGGATGTAAAGACGACATTTCTCAACGGGGACTTGGAGAAAAATGTTTACATGGTACAACCGAAAGGTTTTATCATGGAAGGGAAAGAACGAATGGGATGCCGCCTAAAGAAATCCATTTATGCATTAAAACAAGCTTCAAGACAGTGATACTTTAAGTTTGATCAGACAATAAAGAATTTTGGGTTTAAAGAGAATGTAGAGGACAATTGTGTCTAAGCAAAATTTAAGAATGGGAAGTTTATCTTCCTTGTTCTGTATGTGGATGATATCTTACTTACTAGTAGTGATGTCAGTCTACTACTGGAGACAAAGAAGTTTTTGTCCTCAAAATTTGATATGAAAGATCTTGGTGAAGCTTCGTTCGTTCTAGGAATCGAGATTCACCGAGATAGAAGTAAAGGGGTATTAGGACTGTCACAAAAGGCATACATAGAGAAGATCTTAAAGAAATTCAATATGCACAAATGTAGTCCCTCACTTGCTCCTATAGTCAAGGGCGACAGATATGGGGATTTTCAACGCCCCAGGAATCAGTATGAGATCGATCAAATGAAAACGGTTCCATATGCTGCAGCTGTCGGAAGCTTGCAATATGCTCAAGTATGTACGCGCCCTGACTTGGTATTTGTTACTGGGTTACTTGGCAGATTCTAGAGCAATCCTGGAACAGAACACTGGAAATTAGTAAAGAAAGTCTTGCGTTATTTGCAAGGAACGAAAAGCCTCATGATGACGTATAGAAGATCAGATTCACTCCATATAGTGGGATATTCAGATTCTGATCATGCAGAAGATGATAGAAAATCTACGTCTGGATATGTATTCACTCTCGCAGGGGGAGCTATTTCATGAAAAAGCTCAAAGCAAACCGTCACTACATCGTCCACAATGTATGCTGAGTTTGTAGCGTGTTATGAGGCAACGGGGTAGGTGAACTGGCTAAAGAAGTTCATACCCGGTTTGAAGGTGGTTAACGACATCTATAGACCACTTAAATTATACTGTGATAATAATCCAGCAGTACAGTATGCTCACAATAATAAGTCAAGCGGTGCTGCCAAACATATTAACATAAAGTATTATGTTGTGAAAGATAAAGTCCGGGATTATATCATAAGTCTTGAGCATATAAGTACCGAAAAGATGCTCACGGATCCGCTTATAAAAGGCTTACTACCCAACGTGTTCAGAGAACATGTAGCCGGCATGGGTTTAAAGGAAAGCCTATAATTCCTAGACAAAAGAAGGCCCAAAGTTAAGTATCTATTTCAGAACAAAGTGGTGTGTTGTAGTTGTTAAATCTATCGGTAATTGACCGTGATGATGAAACATGCTCTATGCGCTAATCTGTAATGGAATGAACAAAAATAAATGATATGAAATTGAAAGATGGTAGGAGATCCAGGGAGAGATTGTTAGATTGATCTCTAATCCCAAACTGGGCCCAACGGCCTAGTTGGGCCTTTGATCCGCGCCCTGATCAGGGGCGCCCAGCCCACTATGGCTGGAGGGTCGCTATCACACTGCGCAATATATAGAAGTGGGGGCCAGCGGCTCTGAGTACGAGGTTCGCCTCAGCCGAGCTCCCCACCAAAACCTAAACTCTAATCCCGATTAGAGAGGGGCGCAACCAGTGACAGGAAGCCACCAGCCGCGCCGCCCCGCTCCACCGACGTCGACGACTTCATCGCCCTCTTCCCCGAACGTCGCTGCCCGTACGCATACTTCACCGACGAACGAGATGGCGGCTTCTGGACCATCTCCCTCTGCGGTGTCAGGTTCGACACGTTCTTCTTCTATTCCTCTCTCTCTACTCTTGACATCGCATTCACAATATAGAAAACCCGCTAGACCTAACTCTAGATGATCTTTTCAATCTCTGCAGAACTGACTCTATATAATCCTTGCATACTGCATATAGTACATAGCAGCAGGCATTGGCGCACTTTTTATGTTTCTGCTGTAGAGCCAAGTGGGAGGCAGTATCTTGATTATCTTGGATCAGGTCGTCTGCGCTGAGTTCCTGAGCTTCTGTTGCATCCTGGAGTGCAAAAATAAGGTAATCAATCGGTTGTTGATTTGTACAACGACTTATTTAAAGATGGCATGTTTGGAAATATAGGATCATAAAAGTGGCCAACGGGGCTGGAGGAATGATGTACCTCCTGCGCTGAATCATCGTCATTTAACATGTGCGTAGTGGGTTGCACTATAATCACAGCTGACTTGTTCGCGATTTGAAGACAAGGAATGTGACAACAATCAACAGGTAAGAGTAATTAAAGCTACAGCGCTAATGTATGAGTACAAATATGGCGGTTCGCGTCGCAATGTGGTTCTTGACGTAGACACTGCACATAGAAACTACCTAAACTAGGTTTCCAATTGATAGTTTCTACATAATATTTTTTTTCCAATCACATGTCTTCTCTCTTTATTATCTACCAATCATATCTCTTTATATCTTGATTGTCATGTAGACATGGTTTCTTCTAAGGGCACTCCCAACCATGAAACTAGATGGTTTCTATCTTCATTAATTATGATGCCAACTAAGCAAAAGATGATGTGGCACTGTAATTAAAGAAGAGAGATGAAGAAATGATTTCTCAGATAAGAAACCATGTCTATACGAGAACCAAGATACGAGGAGATGTGATTGGTAGAGGATGGAGAGAGAAGATATGTGATTGGACAAAAAATAATTCTATAAAAACCATCTATTGGGACCAAAGTATCTATACGGTGTCTACGTAAATTAATAGACATAGAAGCTACTCGTGGTTTTTGGCATTGGAACTGCCCTCATCTCTCTTCTTTAATTGTAGTGCCATAACATCTTTTTTGTTTAGTTGGCACCCTAATAATGAAGATAGAAACTAGTATCTAGTTTTTTTGTTAGGAGTGCCCTGTAATCATGAACAATATCGAGATCAAGCAATTTCTATGTACGCCACAAGTTTGTCTAATGTCAGCACCCCCGATAAGCATGCAGAACCTAGCAAACTATAAGCAATAAAGCAATGGACATTATCAGCTCCAGACTAAGAGGCCAACCGCCATTTGCGAGGACGAAGAGACCTGTTATAAGAAGAAATCCCACCTCTCGCCAGTCTCACCACCCTCTCCTTGACTTCCTCGCTGGCCCATAAATATATACCCATCGCCACCGAGCAATTATCTAACAGAATAAACCATGGGGCAAGCCTACTACTACCACCAACGGCTCGTCCTCCTCGCCGTCGTGGCGTTGCTGTCTGCTGGCCTCTTCCCGCAGGCGTTAGGGAAGGGCAAGGGTAAGGCGCATGGCGGTGCTGTCAACCCGGTGGTTGCCGGCATCTGCTCTCGCACCCCATTCCCAGAGGTTTGCAAGTCCACTGCCGGGCGGCATGCGTCCAAGTTCCCGGTCATCGACAACTTGGCCGTGCTCAACATGCAGGTGGACGCGTTCTCCAAGCGCACTGCGCAGGCGCGGAAGCACGTCGCAAAGTCGGCCCGCACTATTCCACCGGCGCAGGCGCAGGCCCTTACATTCTGCGACACAATGTACATGAACACACAGGACACCATCGGTGCGGCGCAGAGGGCCATCACGTTCAAGGACACGAGCACCGCGAAAATCATGCTGCAGCTCGCCGTTCAGGACTTCGACTCGTGTGACCGTCCGTTCACCCAGGCTGGTATCCTCAACCCCATGGGGAAGTTCGATAAGGAGCTCAACCAGATGGCCAACAACTGCATGGCGCTTGCAAACATGATTTGAACCAGGCATGCGGAGTCAGCTAGGCATGCTTGCACCCCAGCGTGAGGTGGCACCGCATGCAGGGAATGCTTGGACCTGAGGACTTGATTTTTATTTAAGAATTCATTAAAATTATTAGTATATTGAGCAACTCTATGTACTTGTTCCAGACCTACATTTATTCAGTAGGTCATGAAATGTGAGGTAGAGGGCCTTTCATTGCTTTTCATCCTTTGATTGCTAGATGTTCTTCCTTTCGTTGTTCAGTTTCCAAACATACCACGTCCTTGCCTTGAGATAATTATAATTATCTAATTAGAAGCTCCCCAAAGTATACTACTAAAAAATATTTTAGGAGATACCTCCATTTATTTTTAGAGACGGGCATAAAAAAATGCAGCCTCTGAATAGAGGCAATTACCTACTTGTCACTAAAAGAGTTCTTAATTCCATATCTATCACTAAAAATCATTTGGCTCCTACCCAACCATTAAGTTAAGGAATATTTTGCTTTGGAACAATTAACAAAAGGTGGAATTGGCTAGTCCACATTGGCAACAACAAAATTTACAAGATACCATTATGAAATCGGGATCCTCATTGCCACTCCAGAGCCAACACAAACAAGAGACGCAGTCCATAGCCAACTTCTACAATTCTTTAGACCTATCATGGCCTGGATGGTTGCATTTCTGCAAGCTACTAAGGTAAGAATTTTTTTTCGATCACGCAAAAGGTTTGCGTGTCTTTTGTATTAAGGATGAGAAAAAATTTGATACAACACGCTTTAGCGGCGGCCTAGGGGGTCAGTAAGGATTTATATGGAAGCTCAGCTCTAGTGTACTGTAAGCTAGGTTATTACATTGGACAGAGATCGACTCAAATTTACGGCACTAGCAAGGAGAAATATGCCCTAGCTGCCGCTGCTTGCGCACGCCTACGTCACCAACCAGTGCGAACAACTCACGCAACGCCTGCATATGAGCAAGGTCACCACTATCGTATGCTTCCTTAGCCAACGTCGACGGAGACGGCATCCCTCTGGAGAGTTCCAGGCGCTTCATGACAAGGTACTCACCTCGCTTGGTAGCCGGGATATCAGCTATGGGCTGTGCCACAATCCCCCTGCTTCGCTTGGTGAGCGAGGGCGGTGCACGTCCGCGGCTGCCTCCTCTTTGTAATTGCCTTGGTAAAGCGCTTGAGGTGTCTGTCGGCCGAGGTCGTTGGAGGCGAAGGGGTGCGGTTAACGTCGTCGTCAGTCGCAACCACGATCGTCGTGTCTGCCCTGATGTTGGCCAGCTCTGGGCTCATGGGTCGGATGGCATCGGACCTCTCTAGGCACGCCTTGGCATCCATGACGTTAGGCTGTCGCTCCCGCGGTGGCGTGACGAGGAGCTGCCCTTGCACAGATGATGACGAAGGTAAGTCCGTCGTCCACTGGGCAGCCTTTGTCGGGGAACGAGTGTCCACCAACGATGCTTTGGGAGGCGGCTGCCGGAATAGGCTGGCGCACGACGAGCTCGTTCAGCATTGGGTCGACCCACGTGGGAAGCCCCAGGCTCGTGAACAGCTCCAACAGCGACGGGTCTGGCTCGGGGAAGCAGTGTACAGCTGAGGCGGCGCCGTTGTTGATGATGCAGTGAACCACTCGGATCATACTTTACCACATCAAGCTTTCACTTCGGTGGCCAATTGTATTACTTTTTCATGTTCCTGTACCCTGCATTTCAGCAACCATCTCTGCTCCATTCAGGAGGCGCTACAACCTGCGAACTGGGAACCTTTTAAACTCCTATACTTGTAAGATGTTCTTAGTCTGAATGAAGGTACTTATCAAAAACGAAAAAAAAAAGGAGACACATCTCCTCTTAGTACAAAGAACACACACACAAAAAAAGACAAAATACATAGTGTTTGATCTGCCGGGGCGCGTCCAGGGAACACGCATTGATTTCTAGGCCTCGAGGGGCTTGCAGACGATGGTGGCGTGCTTGGCGATCTGGTTGCTGAACTGCCCGGGCTTCTCCGTGGTGTCGATCTTGTCCAGCCCCGGCGGAGGCAGCAGCTGCACCAGCCTGCCCAGGGTGATGCCGATGATGGGCAGCGCGAGGATGATTCCGGGGCAGCTGCGACGGCCGACTCCGAAGGGCACGAAGCGGAAATCGTTGCCGTGGGCCTCCACGGACTTCTCCTCCTCCAGGAAGCGCTCGGGCCGGAACTCATCGGGCCGCACCCACCTCTTGGGGTCGTTGGCGAGGAACCAGGCATTGACGAGGATCTTGGACTCGGCGGGGATGTCGTAGCCGGCGAGCTTGCCGTCGTTGAGGTTCATGTGGGGGACCAGCAACGGGATAGCCATGCGCAGGCGGAGCGTCTCCTTGACAATGGCCTGAAGGTAGGGGAGGCGCTCAAGGTCCGGCTCCGTCACAGGCACGCCGGCGCCCAGCACTGAGGCGAGCTCCTCCCGTAGCTTGCTTGGACTGGATGGCCGGGTGGTTCACCAGCTCGGCGAGGCCCCACTCAATCGACCACAGTGTCGTCTCGATCGCTGCAATTAATTGGCTTGCTCATTACACATTCAGATCTGAGCAAACTTTCTGCTCTTTGATTTCCTATAGGCCGATTGTAAGCGCATCTTGTGATTTTGTCAGATCCCAACAAATGGCCGGTAGCAGCTTTGACTTGTAAAGCAAGACCAGAAAAACGCATTTCTTTTTGAGGCGTGATCACGTGGCGGCGGCTTCAACTGCCATTTGATATGCTACATACGCCTAGCACGCTGCTCGAATAATACTAGAGCCCATTTGAAGTCTGACACCGCATAATACTCCATTTGAGACGTGCCTTATTTTCCATGCTAAACAAAACAGTGGACCACAGCAAGGATTTCTTTTCTCCGATGTTGCAGTGCTATTTATTTGTGTATGGCTGGACTGCAGTACTTAAATGATAAATCGTACTAGGTTCTTTTTACTGGAATTCTTTGGGTGGAGCTGAAGTATATTACTATTGTTTTATTTTACTAGTTGGTCCCTACGGTACACATTTATGATGTATAATAAGCTGGCATTTAACCCGGTAAGATACGCTGACTGAAGATGGGCATGACCACTAAATGTTCTGAAAACTCGTTTATTTAAAACCAGGCATAGCATACTCTGTTTCCATTTCAGTCAGAAACAGAGCATAGCATGCTGCTCCATTGAAAACTGTGGTGTGAATTGTGACATCTATAATGGACTGAGCAGACATTTTGAGTTAGTACTTGGAAGATGGAAGAGCAAAGAAGAGTCGAGTATCTACCTGCGACGTTGATGTTCTCGACGATGTAGAGGACGTTGTCGTGGTTGATCTCGCCCTTCCTCTCGGCCTCGAGAATGTGGTCCATGGCGCACCGAATCTCACCAGTCTGAGCCATCACCTTCCTGTGCACGCAGCACGCAGCCATGTTTGTTAGTTTGGCTTCCCAACTGAATGAATTGAATCAGAAGGTTCCTACCAAGTCAACAAGACGGCTAGAATTCCATGATAATATAGATTTGGTAAACTATATGTTGCACGTTCCGTCGTGGTCGTGGGTGGGCACGATTGGTACATGCACCCAACCCAATCTGGGGACAAATAAACTAGCCCGTCTATTATAGGCATGCATGTCTTGCTTAGGCCCTTCCAACTAACATGAAGCAGCAAGCAAAGGGCAAACCAAATGATCTAGGTAACCACTTTTTAATAGAGAGACAGAGCAAAAGCTTTTACTTTCATATGTTGCAAAAAAAAGCCTATAGCCGTGAAGCCGTACTCCTTTTCCATCATTATCTGTCGCTCTCGGTGTATGTGTGTGTGGTTGCCCGGATCATAAGCTTTCGGCCTTGCGCGGAAAGCAAAGCAAGGCAAATCTAGCGAGCCCCATTTTTTTGGTGGGCTAATCTGTCATCAGGAGTCAGGAGATGAGTAGTGCGGTTCACCTAATCATCATGCAATTTTCTATCTTCAAAACCTACCCTTCGTTGTGTTAACCTGTTGTCGACAATGACAAGTTGTTGTTTACTACGTACTCCTCCTTAACCCGTACTTGTCAAATACTGTACGACTGGAGCCACGCTCTATGCAATACTACTAGTAGGCCCAAAACAAGCGTAAGCAACGATGGCATGCTGGGGTCATCTGGTTTGGTCGCTTCGGTTCAAGAACCAAGACATCATTGGATTGGAGGCCACACAAAAGTCCAATCTCGCCAAATTGAATGACTAGCAAAAATGGTCATGGCAACATGTTGATTCTCCACTGGCAGATGGCATTGATTTGGGAGGCAACCAAACCAAATACAGCATCCGCCACCGCTCTTCAAAAGAGCAAATACAGCTGCAGCTGTACCTGTACGTGCCTAACATGCAGCATGCGCACAGATTCTACCAAACTGTCTTCCGTCCAGCTCCAGCCCATCATCACCTCACCCCGCCGACGATGCAAATTGCAAATGCAACTCCACCAATCGTCAACCAAGCACCAACACCAGGCCCGCCGCCCCAGCCCCCAGGGGCAATGCGACGTACAGTATTATTCTGTTTCATCGATTCGAATTGAAGATTAAAAAAGAAAATGCAATGGGCTTACTTGCGTTCCAGGACGAAGTTGTCCTCGAAGACCTTCATGCGCCGTGTCTTGAGGTCGTGGCAGCGGTTGAGGTAGCCGCGGAGGAATGGGCGGAGCACCGGGATGAAGTCGCCGTAGTTGTACTCGAAGCTCTGCGACAGGCGGCTGCGCTCGGCGTTGAGCGCCTTGAGCTTGTTGAAGAGCGGGTCGTCCTCGCTGTCGAACCGCTGGTCGAACATGATGCGCAACATGTCGTTGTACATCATCAGCTGGAGGCGGCGGCGGATCACGACTCCCTCCGTGGCGGCCTTGGGGTTCCTCTTCACGTCCTCCACTACCAGCCGGGCCTCCCCCTCCCAACCAGCGCGGTTCTGCGCCACCACCTTGTTGGTGAAGAAGGGGACGGTCATGATGCGCCGCATCTTGCGCCAGTGGTCGCCGTACACTGTGAACACCATGTCCTGGCCCTTGCCGGTGAAGATGTCGAAGACGACGTTGCGGGTGCGGGAGCCGAACTCCACGCCCTGCGTGTGGAACACCTCCTTGGCGAGCTCCGGGGTGGACACCACCGCCAGGTTGCGCACTCCCATGCGCAGGAGGAAGATGTCGCCGAACCGCTTCGCCAAGGCCATCAGGTTGCGGTGGTTCAGGTCGTCGCCCACCTGCAGCCAGTTGCCCACCACGGGGGCGCCCGGGGGGCCGGGCGGGAGGCGGTACCGCTTGCCGGTCAGCTTCGCTACGGCGATGGCGAGCACCGCCGCCGCGAACAGGCCCAGCAGGGCCTTCTCCAGGAGGGCGAGGTCCATGCCGGGCGAGACTCGGTCCGGCAGGGGTAGGTGGGGTGTGGGGCTCTGTTTGTTCGCTTCCTCTGCCCTGTAGTCTGAGGAGCCGGCAGCGGAGGCGATGGAACAGGCAAGAGGAATGGCGGGGATGATTATATAGCGTCTTGGAGGGAGCCGAGACGGGTCCGATTTGAGTACACAAATTTGTTTGGTTTGCGATTAAGGGGGTTGGTACGGTTTTGGTGCTGCCCCACAAAAGCTTCACAAAGTGTTTGGTTTGGAACCGGAACAAACATTATTGCTATTTCCTGGCAGCAGGAGAAGCGCCCAAAGGGGATACATGCATCACCGCCGAGGCAGTCGGTGAAGGAGCAGCTCCACTGGCCCGTTTGTTTTTTTTCCTTTTTTGAGAATGGAACAAGTTTCCAGTGACAAAGGCCATGTTTGGCCGGGCTTCGGCTCCGGCTCTGCGGCAGCTCCGGCGTAGGAGCCGCACCAAACACGCTGGCCGGAGGAGTCGCTTTTGCCTGTTCGCCAGAGGAGCCAAAGCCCTTTTGCACGTACGGAGGTGGAGCCTGGATTCGTGGCTTCGCTGTCGCGACGGAGCACCGTGGGCAAAGCTTAGCCAAATACGGTCTAAACACAGCCAAGTCCTTACTAGATGCTTCAGCGAATTAACTGAACAAAAAATATAAAATTAGAACATAGGTAGACTAAAGAAAACTTTATTATAGGTGAACTAAAAAACATTTTGCAATGTTTATTCTAGTCGAAATATTTCAGATCCAGATTTCCTTTAGAAATGTTTCACCGAATCAAAATTACTTCATGTAACCATTTGGCTAGCTCACTGGGTTCTTAGAACTAGAACTAAAATTAGGAGAAATTATGATTTTGGGTGTTGTGATTTTTCGTGAAGAGTTTCTCTTTTCACGTCAGTGATTGTAGAGAGAATCTAAAATAGTTTTCACCGCCAAACGTATCATGGGCGTAGCACCGCTGGTTAGGTTCCTTATGGTAAAACCTATCTATTGGGGTTCAAGTTCTAGGTTTGACGCGGTTGGTTACTCACATTTTCATACATTCATTTATTGTAGGATTTAATAAAATTATTCTTTCAATGGTATGCGATATATTCATCGACAATAAGACATACGTGCTTGTCGATGTTTTACCACCGATAGCCTGTCACGGGGTTACCCGGGACAGTATGTTCGGGCTTCAGCGCATGCTGAACTCGACGGTGAACGCAAGAGACAGTCGATTTATCCTGGTTCGGGCCCTCGATCGTTGATCGAGTAATAGCCCTACGTCCGGTCGACGTTAGCCTTTGCGTTGGATTGATTGTGTGTTGTTGTGTTGTAGAAGTCCTGATCTAGGAACCCTGTCCTCCTTTTTATAGTCAGAAGGTCAGAATCCTAGTCGGTTTACAATGAGAGTTCCTAGTAGGATTACAGAATAATACTACTACTAAGATTACATGGGAAGAATCCTAATTAGACTAGATCTTCTCTCTCCCTTGCGGGGTATCCCGTGGGTCCCGCACCGACAAGCCCCCGAGCACTTCATGGTTGAGCTCTGGAAGCCTTGTCTTGTTCTTTCAGGTCTTGCCGAGCAGGAACAAGCGTCGTCCGAGTGCTTTCTTGAGCGAAACCGTGTAGCGCTTTGTGAGATCTTCGCGTGGTGTGTACCTTTTTGAAGAAAAAAGTACTCCTCTTTGGGTGTAGCCCCCGAGCCTCTTGCTATTTGGTACAAGGAGCGGGAGGGTCTTATCTTGAAATCGCTCTAATCATTCGTTGAAATGTTCTCGAGCATGTACCCAGGTTCTTTATCAAAAAGAACTCGGATATAGCTCGGTTTGGCTTCTTTTTGTCATGAGTCCTTGAAGTAATTTTGTCTTGAAGAAGTCTTCTTAGTGACGTGCGTTTTTTCAAAGAAAAAAGTGCACTCACTGAGTGTAGCCCCCGAGCCTCTTGCTATTTGGAACAAGGAGCTGGAGGGTCTTGAATCTTATGTTGTTTGAAAATTGTTGTCTTGAAGAAGCCTTTCGAGTGATGTGCGCTTTTTTGAAAAAAAAAGTGCACTCACTGAGTGTAGCCCCCGAGCCTCTTGCTGTTTGGAACAAAGAGTTGGAGGGTCTTGAGTCTGCTTTGTTCAAGGAATTGAAATCTTCCCCTGTTGTAGCCTCTGAGCATTTATCCGGGTTCTTTGATTAAAAAAAGAACTCGGATGCATTGTCTTGGCGTATTCTCTGGTAGTCTGCTGTTTGTCAGGTGTGGTTGTATTGTGGTGGTTGAGTGTAAATGTTGCCTGTTCACGGGTTGTACATTGTTGGCATATTCTTCCTAATATGCTCGTCTTCGAGTACTGTTCCTTCTCGCCTGAGTCTTCCATTATTGAGTCCTGTCTTTTCACTGTGTCCTTTGTTAGGCTTGTTTCGTTGGTGCTCCTAGTCCATGTGCGCCGCTCCTTCGATCTATAAATACCCTCCCGGAGTGCTGTTTTCATTCATTAAACATTTTGATGCTTGTTCTGAATCCTTCGAAGTCATGAATATGGTAGTTTATGAAGTAGAGCAGCTCCCGGACGTATTTTGTAGTTCTTGTGTATCTTGTCGTAGCTGGAGGAAATCTTGTGATAGGGATTAGAGGTAGACTAATCCCGCAGCGGCATTGTACTTGGAAGTACGTGGTGGTAGTTGGAGGAAGTCTTGTGATGTGGGATGCGTTCCTTCATCTAGCAGTTCTGGGTTGATCTTCCTTGCTCGCCCTGCGACTGTCCGGTGTAGATCAACACCTGATCCTACATCATGTCGGGCTTGGGTAGATAGATGCCCGCAGACCTCCTTTGGTCCATGTTGTCCCGCCGTGCCGCTGATCTCCGCCTTGGATGTGCTGCGTCCGTCCTTTGAAGAAAACAGTGTAGCCGAGTGTGGTTTGTTCTACCGAGTAGCAATTTGGAGCACGGAGTCGTTCTAGAGCCTAGCTGTGTCCGGGTTCCTCTTTGCTACCTTGATTGTCGTAGTACCGAGTTTGTTGGGTCTTGTAAGATTTGTAATCTTCTATTTTTGAAGTCACTTGTAATGGAAAGAATCTTGTCTTCTGAGTTGTCATTCATTTTTCTGTTGTAGTCCTGGTTGTTCATGAGATTCCCGAGTTCTTTCCGTAAGAACCGGGTTCTTATGTTCCTTGTGAGGTAGCCCTTCGTTTCTTCATGGTTGACGGGTTGTTCTTGTAGTAATTTGATAACTCTACCGTGGTGCTGGATGGATAAGTCTGAAATCTGCCCGTTGAATTGTACCGTTGTGTGGATTTGTGCCTTCCGTCATTTTAGCTGTGTTAGTAAATAGACCGTTGCATTCCCACACCATGTTTTAACGGGCCCGGTGGGCCGCGTTTCCCTGCTGTAAATTCTATTTAAAGACCTTTCATCTTCTTCTTCTTTACTATTCCGCTTTTGCCTTGAAACCCTAGCTTTTAGAAATCCATCGTCGCCATTGTCACCGTCATCTGAGCGCCGCCGCCTTAGTCTTGTCTTTCCCTAGTGCCTTTTTGCTTCTGCTAGTACATGGGTAGAAAGAAAACCGTGAGCAAGTCTCAGGCAGCCTTCGTGGACGAGGAGTCATCACTTTCCGTGATTGAGAACCAAGAGTTCGTGGCCATGAGGGCTGCCCAGAAGGCTTGGTCGGCTCCAATGATGACTGAAGACCAGCTTCAGGAGCTTGTCAGCGATGGTTTGATCTAGAGCAAGGACATTGCTGAATGGAGAGCTCTAGACGAGCATCTGGTCCCTGCTCCAGGTCCTGGTGAGATCATTCTTTTCGTCTCCTTCATCTGTGCTGGACTTTGCCTTCTTGCTTCTGCCTTCCTTCATCAATTTCTCAGCTATTTTGGGATTAGCCTGAATCATCTTGCTCCCAATGTAGTCCTTCACCTTTCTATCTTTGCTCATCTTTGTGAAACTTTCCTTGAAATTCCCCCTTCTCTTTCTCTCTTTCGCTACTTCTTTCGTCTGAAACCCCAACCCCGCCGCGAAGACACTAGTGTTCTTGGTGGCTATGAGATTCAGTTTCGCTAGGGTCTTAAGAGCAAGTTCTTTGACTATGACCTGGTTGATTCTGTGAGGGATTGGCGCGCCGACTGGTTTTACGCCGCCAATTTGATTCCTCCTCTTGCTGTTCACTCTAGATCTAGTCCCTTGGTTAATGACCGATGGAATAAGAACCCTGTGACGACGGCTGAGGTTCAAGCGATCCAGCCATTTCTTGATAGGATAAGTACTCTAAAACAGCAGGGCTTGACCGGCTTCGATATTGTCTTGAGCTTTCTTCGTCATCGTGTTCAGCCTCTGAAGGAGCGAGAGAACTTTGGCTTCGAGTACTCTGGGGCTGAGGATCCTTCACGCATGGTCCTTGCCCTTGAGTTGACCGACGAGTAGGTACTCAAGCGTCTCCAGAAGATGCTGAAAAGAGCAAGCGTTGTCCCGCTTACTGTCTCCGAGTACTTTGCAAACAACCCGCCTCTAGCTGTAAGTCATTTTCTCTTCGTGCGGGTACTTTCTGTATTTCTTTTGTTGTATACATTTTTGCTTAATTTTCCTTGTCTTGTTGTTTTATTCTTTTCGTAGGAATTGGGGCGCAACTTTGTTGACCTGATCCCCCTTGATGTCCTCCCTGCCGTGGTGAATACTGGGGAGAACTTTGCTGGGGCTTCTGTAACCAGTAAGTTCCAAATCACCATAGTGTTTCCTGGAGTTTCTTCCGGAGTTGTTGATGTATATGAAGAATATGTTCCTCGTCCAGTCCCTCGATGTCCTCGTAGTTTCTCAAAGAGGGGGCGAGCGGATGGTTCTTCATCTGGTTTACCTGCTTCCAAGAAGTCTCACCAGCTGAATACTCATCCAGGTACTCCAGTTATAGGTAGCGTGCTCCTAGGTGAGCATATTAATATGTTTGGTCTTTCTGTTATTTATTTGTGCCTTTGACCGAGTTCTTTTCTCTCTTTTTTCAGATGGCGCAGTAGCTG